TGCGTGCTTTCGAACTGCTAGTGGTACCTATTTATCTACTCGCATTTTCATGCTTTCAAACTGCTAGTGGTACCTATTTATCTACTCTCATTTGCATGCTTTCGAACTGCTAGTGGTACCTACAGAGCCCCAAAGAATACAACCACGCTGTAGTTTAAGCATAACAGATGAATATTGATTGATCGGTTATTATGCGATAAGTCTTTTTCTACACCTAGCAACCACGTAGCTAGATATTCTCCATGAGCCACAGCTGAACCCAGCCCCAAATATTTTACTTATGCCACATAAAATTTTGCATCTGCAGCACGTGACGTGGTGGCAAAATTGTCTGAAGACCGAGTTTCAGATCTGAATGATTTCCAGTGGATTTCTCAGCTGCGATACTACTGGGAAAACAGAGACGTCATGGTTCGAATGATCACAACCGAAGCCAAGTATGGATATGAATATCTGGGTAACTCGTTGCGTTTGGTGATAACTCCACTGACCGACCGATGCTACAGGTAAAATTCCTCCCCAATTTTTTAATCCTCAATAAAATATTTATAGATCAAGGTTAGCAAAGGCATTGATTTGATGAAGGGAGTACAATCATGACGGGAAGCAAAATTACATTTTTTTGAATTCAAGCAGTGAAACCTAGATTTCTTGTAGAATTCTTTTTATCCAATTTCTTGGATAAAAATGTGTTAATTTAGTCCCCTGCTCAATAGAATTAATTCCTTGGTATGGAAAGATGACATGGTGTAGTCAAGGAGGCCCTTTAATTCCCTTAACAATATAAATTATGTTTGTTGCATCACGAACTAAATATTAGTCATAATTTGTGTGATGATATCCCTTGCACCCCCTGACACCAATGATTGTATTCACAAATTACACCAAGCTTAGGTTGAAGACGGCATAATGGCGTGATTCACACATAATATAGCACCATAAATCATGCACAATGATTTGGATAACATGTCAGTGTATGGGTATGTGAAGAGAGAATGAAGGTGGGTCTCTGTATAGTTATGTATGTATTGATTTCTCTTTATAATCTCATTCCTATGTCCTAGGACCTTAATGGGAGCTTTGAAATTAAATCTAGGAGGAGCTCCTGAAGGACCGGCTGGTACTGGAAAAACAGAAACTACTAAGGATCTTGCCAAAGCTTTGGCTAAGCAGGTACCAAAGAAATAAAAAATCACCTTCTCCTTCTCTCTTGTCTCTTTCCCTTCTCTCTCCTCCTCTCTTCTCCCCCTTTTCCTCTCTCTCTTCTCCTCCTTTTCTCTCCTCCTTTCTTCTCTTTTCTCCTCCTCATTCGCTTCTTTTCCTTTTCTTTCTCCTCTTTTCATCTTCTTCTTCTTCCTCCTCCTCCTCCTCCTTTTCATCCTCCTCCTGGTCCATGTGTCATAGGGAAAAATAGCCATTGGATGTACGAGTTTATGCACACCCAATATTTGCGGGACAGACTTTTAGCTACACCGATTGCATCCTTGGCCTCTTAAGTGCATTCTGTGAAATGCCCTCTGCAACTGTGGAGGGGAGGAGAAAGATAATGTAAGCCCCACAAGATAGCTCAGACCAAGAAACAGACACTGTGTAGACCTAAAGCTACTTTTATTAGAAGAACTCTAGTAACCGAACCTTGCAATTAATCAATGAATGGGTTTCCTCTTTATCTTTCTGTGAATCAAGAGGACGTTTTGCTTGCTTTAGTCATTCTCTCTCTCTCTTTGTAAGTGTAAACTTACAATCAAATGTGCTGTTATGTGTTTTAGTGTGTCGTCTTCAATTGCTCAGACGGTCTTGATTACAAAGCGATGGGCAAATTCTTTAAAGGACTGGCACAGGCTGGAGCTTGGGCCTGCTTTGATGAGTTCAACAGAATTGAGGTAATTATGCCTAGCATCAATAGCTACTGTTGTCTAAATCCTTTAATGCAGAAACCTCCAATGTTGGCTACTTTACAGTTTGTGGACTTCAACTCCCAGAATTCCTCAGGCATGCTGGCTGAGGAATTCTGGGAGTTGAATTCCACAAGTCTTCAACCTGAACCGGTGTGATTTAGATCACACTCTTATTATATGGATTTTTAAACTGGTTTCAACCTTTTACGTCCTGACTTTCATAGGTTGAAGTGCTCTCTGTGGTAGCACAGCAGATCCTCAGTATTCAACAGGCTATTATTCGCAAGCTCCGGACTTTTCTCTTCGAAGGCACGGAAATTTCTCTTAATCCAACTTGTGCAGTATTCATCACCATGAATCCTGGGTATGCGGGCCGAGCTGAACTTCCAGATAACCTCAAGGTGAACCAGGATGTTTCCAATAAACCATGATTGGAGTAAACCGATAGTATTCAGAAATCCAAAGAGGAAGGAAGAGTTAGTTTCAGGACCTTGGATAGCTCCTATGAAATACAGACCTTTTCTCTCCCCAGTCTGATGCTCTTAGTAATTTTAAAGATATGTGGGTTTCAACTCCCAGAATTCCCTAGCCAGCATGAAAAACACGCTCTGCAGACGGGCTGCCTGGCATTTTTCTTTTAGCATCTTATTCCTCCAGAACTTTTTGATAGTTGAGTGAAGCAAGGACTCACCGTAGAACTTGTACTGAAATCCTCAAATCTCCCGGCCAATATAGCTACAGCTAGAATCATAGACTCCTAGGATCCTAGGGCTGGAAGAGATATTGGGGGCTTCTAGTCTGACCTCCTGCTCAAGGCAGAAGTTTTATACAACTGACTTAAATGATTGTCCCCTCTATTAGTGAATACGTCCCAGGACAAAATGCTGAAGGAATCTATGGCAGGATTCATAAGGAAAAGTTTGGGAATGCTCTCCTTTATATTCTCTTCAGGATGTGCTGTTATTGTTATTTTTTTTTAAAGGCTTTATTCCGAACAGTAGCCATGATGGTCCCAGATTATGCTTTGATTGGTGAAATTTCACTTTATTCGATGGGATTTCTCGATTCCAGAAGGTAGGTAAACCTGCATTTTTACAAAGTAAATCTATTGCTTTTTTTAAAAGACACTTTTTCATACTCTTTTTCCCTCCCGCTCTTCTTATACATAAAAATCCCACCTGGGGATCTATAATTTTACAAACCCATCCAAATGCATATTTTGTATCTTCAGAGTTGCTTTCAAGTTTCTTCTTTCTAGCTACATAGTCAACAAGACTATCTTTTTTTGATGAATGAAATGTTAAAATACCCAAACAGAGTGATTAATTTATTATTTTTAATTGCAGCCACAGGCTAGCGTAATAATAAATTCCAGTCATTAGAGCTGTACTCAATGTCATCCCATTAATAAGATGAAAAATTGGTCATTTACATTGTTCTCACGTTTATAAATGGTTCAGGAACGTTATATCCATTTTAGGCCCTTGCTATTTTTTTCTAATATTTTCACTGTAGTATTTCTAAACCACTTTCATACTTATATATTTGTTTTTTATTGTGCATTATGCTTTAGGCTGTGTTAAATTTTACAAATAAATGTAGTAATATGTGCAATGTCCAGCAGGAGAGACCAGATCCATATGTTTAAGATCCACATTAAAATGATTTATTTGTAAAAGTCTATGCATAGGTATCTTCTCAACTAACCATTGGCACTTGCTTAAAATTAGATAGGAGTCAATGGAATTCAAGGGGAGATGAATTTAGTTTGCTTGTGAGTACACGAGGATTCTAGACTGAACCCTCTTTGACTCCGCTCCCAAGTTCTGCCACTCCTGCATATAGATATTTGTCCTTCTTTCTCTGCTTGATATTTTGGCTTCAGGCATCAAAACATCTTCTGATCTTTTGCAGCCTTGCACAGAAAATTGTTGCCACTTACCGCCTTTGCTCTGAACAGCTGTCCTCACAGCATCATTATGACTATGGGATGCGAGCAGTCAAATCTGTCCTGACAGCAGCAGGGAATTTGAAACTAAAATATCCTATAGAAAATGAAAGCGTTTTGTTGCTCAGAGCTCTGTTGGATGTTAACTTAGCTAAATTTTTGGCCCAAGATGTTCCTTTGTTTCAGGTAAGATCATTATCCAGATGTCAGTAACATACATTTCTTCAGTATAAAACAGTGATTATGAAATGATTAGGAGACATTGAAAGCAAAGTAGATTTTTAACCTGTAGTATTTATTTATTTGTATCCTGCCTTTATTATTATTTACAAATACCTCAAGGCAGCGAACGTATCAAACATGCCTTCCTCCTCCTATTTTTCCAACAACAACAACCCTTTGAGGTGGGTTAGGTTGAGAGAAAGAGGGACTGGCCCAAAGTCACCCAGGTGCTTTCATGCCTAAAGTGGGATTAGAACTTGCCATCTCCTGGTTTCTAGCCTAGTGCCTTCGCCACAAGACCAAACTGACTGTCAATATATATTTCAATATACTTTATTAAAATGACAAAACTTTGAGGAAGTTAATAGTGTTAAAACTTCTTCAGGTGTTTAGCTTCCTGATTCTCTGCAGTAACCTTACTTATTTAAACTTCTTGAATCTATCTGAGAATGCAGAACAGTGAGAGATGTGTTCATTTATTATTAAATTGCTATGCTTCCTGACTCCTGATCATTTGCCAGATTTTTCAAGGTGATAAAACCTTGAAATTATACATATAACTGTTCCCGGAAGTTCAGGTTTTCCAGACCTCCTTTTTTCCCCTTCTCTTACACAGGGAATCATATCTGATTTGTTTCCTGGAATTGTCCTTCCGCAACCCGATTATGTCCTCTTCATCCAGGCATTGAATCACAATATTGAGAAAATGAATCTTCAACCAGTTCCCTGGTTTATTGGGAAAATTATTCAGGTTTCTTCCATTTTTCTCTCCCTTTTAAAAAAACATTTTATTGCTAGCAAAGCAACGTGCTGGAGGTCAATATCCACGCTGCTAATTTAACCGAGTTAAACAGAGCATCAATGTTAGCAACTTCAAGATGAATGGGGTTCAACTCCCAGAACTGCCTAGCCAGAACTCCCTAGCCTAGCCCTAATCCTAACCCTAACCCTTAAAGTTGCCAGATTGAGAAACAATGCTCTAAACGACGTATATCTAGAAATCTGGAACGCTAATAGCAAACATAAGCATATTATTGATGCAATTTGCATAATTAAAAACTCCCTGGATATCCTATCAAGGTTTAAAATAATGCTTCTTATTTATTTCGTGTTACAGATTTATGAGATGATGATGGTGCGTCACGGCTTCATGATCGTGGGCGAACCAATGGGTGGCAAAACCTTTGCGTATAAAGTGCTTGCTGCCGCTCTTGGGGATTTGAGCCAAGGTGAGAGATCAAATGAACGACAACCCCCGCTTTGCTTTCGCACGGAAAATAAGATTTCCCCCTGGGGAAACTTGCTAACATACTTCCATCATAAAATCAGACTGTTTGCCACTTTTAATGACCCCGTCAACCCTTGCAGGGTGAAATCTGGGCAACTGAATGGAGCGGAGTGTTTACTGGCCGGATGCCCTTCCTGTCACCAATGCGGAGTTTTTTCCCCCAGTATATAAATTCTCAGTGTGCCCAGAGAGAGACATATCTGCCTCTACCTAGGATCAAACTCTCACCCTCCTGAGTGTGAGGTGAGAGCTCCAGCTATAGGCCACCGCAACACTCAAATTGGTCCTTTTATTACAAATGACCCCAAATCTGTTTTGTTTTTTTTAAAAGATGGAAACAGCATGTTAAATATCCTGCCTCAAACAGTTGCAAGAAATCCTTTCCCTTTACGCTAAGTCGGGGGCAATTTTAAAGTCGCCAAGGTTGAGAAACACCGACCTATGACCCCATGGCTGGCTGGGGAATTCTGGGCGTTGAAGTCCACACAGCTCTCAAAGTGTCTCTCAACCCTGGCAACTCTAAGTTGTGTGGACTCCAATGCCCAGAATTCCCCAGCCAGCGTGAGTTGAAGTCCATTTATCTTAAAGTTGCTAAAGTTGAGAAACGCTGACCTAGCTAAAGAGAAGGGATTTCTTGCAACTGTTCCGTTAGCTGAAGTTCCCTTATTTTAAAGTTGCCACGGTTCAAAAACCCTGACTGAAAATGTGCTCCTCTCTCTCTCTCTCTCTTTCTCTCTCTGTGTGTCTCTCTCTGTCTTCGTGTATGTGTGGCTCTCTCTCTGACTCTTTCTCTCTGTCTCTTTGTCTCTCTCTCATTTCTCCCTGTCTCTCTCTGTCTGTCTCTCTCTTTTTGTCTCTTTGTCTCTCTCTCTCTTTCTTTCTCTCTCTTTCTTTCTCTTTCTCTCTCTCTCTGTCTCTCTGTCTCTTTCTCTCTGTCTCTTTCTCTCTCTCTCTCTCTTTGTCTGTCTCTCTGTCTCTTTGTCTCTCTCTCTCTCTTGTCTCTCTCTGTCTCT